CCTAGAGTCTAATCAGCCTGAGGAATTGACAACATCTGTGCAGGTGTGAAGTGTGTATTTCCTAATGGTTTCACACAGTAGCACACAAAAGCATATTGTTTATTTCTAGCTGGTTTCTGTTAATTCTGCTGGCTAAAAGAAAATCAACAGGCAGATGTTAGTTCATTAAGCTTGCATTTAAAGAGTTGTTTGAAAATGCTGTCTCTGACGTAACGTTTTAATATCTTCACGCTGACTTCTTGTTCTAGCAGACACTTGCAAAACAATTCTTAAAGGTCTTGTGCATGGGATTTAGTGGCATCTAGTGGTAAGATTGCAACCAAGTAAAGGAAGACCTTCTGTGCAGAGTTTGCATGTTCTCCCTGTGTCAGCTTGGGTTTTCTCCGGGTACTCCGGTTTCCTCCCACAATCCAAAGACATGCAGGTTAATTGGTGACTCTGAAATTGCCTGTTGGTGTTAATGTTAGTGTGAATGGTTGTCTGTCTCTATGAGTAAGCCCTGCAATAGTCTGGCGATCTGTCCAGGGTGTACTCCGCCTCTCGCCCAATGGCAGCTTGGATAGGTTCTCATTTTTCATTGTGAGATATGTATATGGACACCGATGCAGCCTTCTGTCCATACACTGCATTCATTTTGTCTATATTTGTACACTCTATAAATTTCCATTGTTATGCGGATGATACTCAGTTGTATTTATCGATGAAGCCAGAAGAAAGTAATCAATTAACTAAACTCCATAACTGCCTTAAAGACATAAAAACTTGGATGAGCACCAATTTCCTGATGTTAAATTCAGACAAAACTGAAGTTATTGTTCTTGGCCCCAAACAACTCAGAGACTCTTTATCTGATGACATAGTTTCTCTAGATGGCATTGCTCTGGCCTCTAGCACTACCGTAAGAAACCTCGGAGTAATATTTGATCAAGATTTGTCTTTTAATTCTCATTTAAAGCAAACCTCACGGACTGCATTTTTTCATCTGCGTAATATTGCGAAAATTAGGCCTATCCTGACCCGAAAAGATGCAGAAAAATTGGTCCACGCTTTTGTTACCTCAAGGCTGGATTACTGTAACTCTCTATTATCAGGTAGCTCTAGTAAGTCCTTAAAAACTCTCCAGCTAATTCAGAATGCAGCAGCACGTGTACTAACAGGAACTAAGAAACGAGATCATATTTCTCCTGTTTTAGCTTCTCTGCACTGGCTCCCTGTAAAATCCAGAATTGAATTTAAAATCCTACTGTTAACTTATAAAGCTCTAAATGGTCAAGCTCCGTCATATCTTAGAGAGCTCATAGTGCCATATTATCCCACCAGAACACTGCGCTCTGAGAACGCAGGGTTACTCGTGGTCCCTAAAGTCTCCAAAAGTAGATCAGGAGCCAGAGCCTTCAGCTATCAGGCTCCTCTCCTGTGGAATCATCTTCCTGTTACGGTCCGGGAGGCAGACACCGTCTCCACATTTAAGACTAGACTTAAGACTTTCCTCTTTGATAAAGCTTATAGTTAGGGCTGGCTCAGGCTTGCCCTGTACCAGCCCCTAGTTAGGCTGACTTAGGCCTAGTCTGCCGGAGGACCCCCCTATAATACACCGGGCACCCTCTCTCCTTCTCTCTCTCTCTCTTTCTCTCTCTCTCTCTCTCTCTCGTATTCTATTACTGCATCTTGCTAACTCGGCCATTCTGGATGTCACTAACTCGGCTTCTTCTCCGGAGCCTTTGTGCTCCACTGTCTCTCAGATTAACTCATATCGCAGCGGTGCCTGGACAGCGTGACGTGTGTGGTTGTGCTGCTGCCGTGGTCCTGCCAGATGCCTCCTGCTGCTGCTGCCATCATTAGTCATTAGTCATACTTCTACTGTTATTATACACATATGACTATTGTCACGCATGTATACTGCCAGATATTAATACATACTTTCAACATATTGTACCACAGTAGCCAGAACTATAACTATAATATTATTACTTTCAATAATGTTGTTGTAACCTACTGTCATTACCTGCATCTCTCTCTCTCTCTCTCATTGTGTCATACGGATTACTGTTAATTTATTATGCTGATCTGTTCTGTACGACATCTATTGCACGTCTGTCCATCCTGGAAGAGGGATCCCTCCTCAGTTGCTCTTCCTGAGGTTTCTACCGTTTTTTTTCCCCATTAAAGGGGTTTTTTTGGGGAGTTTTTCCTTATCCGCTGCGAGGGTCATAAGGACAGAGGGATGTCGTATGCTGTAAAGCCCTGTGAGGCAAATTGTGATTTGTGATATTGGGCTTTATAAATAAAATTGATTGATTGATTGATTGATGTTTTCTAAACGCTTACGGATACTGACAAAATGGAGCAGTACCACTGGAAACTGTGAGGGCATATTTTCAGCTCAACACGACCGTATGACACGATATACTTAAAAGAGTTCTCCATCCACATGTCACAGTGTATTTGATGGCCTCACAGAACACTGCTTTCTCCAACGCTGCCTCCGTTAAAAGGTACGTTATTACAACTTCCTCCACCTTTGCCACGTTTGTTGTTGTTAGAAACTTTTAACTTGCTCTCTGGCGCCATCTAGTGGATGATCTATTTCAACATAATGGGTGCATCAAAGTTTGTGGGCAGTGATGATTCCAATGTTTGAAATAAAGTGAACAATTTTCATACATAAAGGGTGTATAAATGAGCCCTTACTGGGGTTGCTGTAGCAAAAATTTCCCAAATTCAATACTGAGTTGGACAAAGTCACTAACATTAGCCTTGCATGCAGGACTGGCAATGTGACAGTCGAGACCTAGGGTCTTTATGTACTTGTAAACACATGAAAGAATGTAGGTAGTTAATGATGAGTGCCGTGAAAATGACGCTTGGCCATCCCTGTTAATGGTTAGCTAGTTAGCCAGACAACTGCAGCTTATGGTAAAGCCGATAAACACACTGTTTAACCCACTGCTTGCACTTTTGCTCCTGTGTTTTTGCTTTTGGCAAGGCTATAAAAAAGGCACCACAACCCAAACCCTTAAAATGCCAAGTATCACCTTTAATGAAGACTCATCCACACCACTTTTCATTGCTTGAGCATACATGTCAAAACTCTTAATTAACAAAACTCTGAATTAATAAGGGCAGCCCATGGTTTACACCTGACTCGTTGCCATTAGGGTTAATGTGGCATGTAAACGTGCTTTGAGACACCTGTGTAAACCCAGATCTTTACAGTGTTATGGGCACAGTGTGGTGCCAACAAGAAACACAAGCCCTTTTTAAATAGTAATTGTGCAAATTTGCAGGAAAGTCCAATCAGTCTTCTTTCAGCATTGGCAGTATAAAAACAAAATCGGGGAGTGCAGCGAAATGCCGCCTGCCTACTTTTGTTCATAGAGAATGTGCCTTTTTCGGGGCAATGGGGGGGCATGAGCAAGTAACAAAACGTGTAGCTCAGCATGTGATGTAAACAGCCTTGCTCCGAGGGAAGCAGCGGCTAGTCAGTCCTTCGGTGATTCTCTCGTTAGTCAGCCCGTCCTTCACCGTTCCTGTCATTTGACGGTTAATGGCCTCTTCGTTTGCGTGGACAATGAGGGCACGCATTTCTTTGTCTCCCCAGTTGCTCATCTTTACAGTGTCTGTCAGGTTTGCGTTTCCCTCTTGCTACTAGCTGCTCGCTAATTCCTGCTATCAGCTGTTTCCTGTTTATCCACCGCCAGTGGGTCGCACGAGCGGCATCATCAACAGCTCCTCCCACAAGTCTTCAACAGCCCCTCCCGTGGCAGAAAGGCGCCTCATTCTTTTCAAACTAAAAAGGTTCCGCCAATATGACTACCCTACGAGGCAGAAAATTGGGCACCACGGATCAACTCGCCAATCCGGCTCTGTGTGTGTAGACGCTTGCAGCTTGCCGGCAAAACGGCCCAACATTCGCCGAAAATCTGGCAGTGTAAAAGGGGCTACTGCTTCAATTACTGGGTCATCATTTCCTTCCATTTTCAAGGCAACACATTATTCATTTATGAAGGAAGGCATCAGCTGATGTCATATGTTTTTTTAGCAGACTATTCTCTGCTAAGCAGATTATTCATGGGATATAGCGATGCACAGTTAATGCCTGAATCAGACCGTAACTACTGAAAGCCAATGTCCTGGCTGCACCATGCATGTTATAGTTAGCACTGATACCAAAGAAGATAAAGACTAAGGAAATGTGGTGAGTAAGTGTTTGTCCCTCTCAGCCTTCCTCTCTGTTTGTCTCATGCCTGCTCTCCTCTCACATCTGTTGGTATTTACAAAGTGAATTATTTCTGAGTTTTTACAAAAGCCAGTTAGCTTATCAACAGCTTGCATCCAGCTGAACACCCACACTCACGTCTGGTTTCAGAAAACAGGATAAGATCAATTGATTGACTTAAAAAGTAGATTTTCTCTGCCCCTTTTTTCCTTTCAGTTACAGGGGAAATGGTTTCGTCAGGCAGACAACCCTGAGGGCACCGAACTCTGCAGTCACCTCAAACAGGCACTAATGTTCTTTTATCGCAGAGGAAGCCACCAACTTTTAACTGATAGCATCATTCAGCCTTGACAAAATGCAAAGCCCAGCCCTTCCCAGATGACACTGCCAATATCTGTATAACTGTTACAAAATCAAAGTGCTGCTTCATGACCTCTGATTTCCTGTTATTTTGTCCACATGTCAGTATGCTGAACATATGCTAAATTTGAAAGAGATAGATCAAAGTAAAATTTCACTGAACTACAGATTCTTATGAATAATGTGACCAAGTTGAAAATGTAATAATCAGTGAACAAAAGAGAAACTATGTAACACAGGAAAAAACTGACAAGGAAATAATAACTGTGTCAGAGAAAGAGAGCCCAGGTGGTTGGAAAGGAAAGAAAAGAACATACACACAAACATCATACACACCAGATCTAAAGGCTCACACCCACACACACACACACACCCACACACACACACACACACACACACACACACACACACACACACTGACCTGGTATGAGTCAATGGCCTCCCGGTCCAGTGAGCGGCTGACTGACACGACTCCTGTGTCTATGTCAATGGTGAAGAGACCTTTGGGATCCTGGTCAGCGCCGGGGCCTGTCAGACGGAAGATATGGTTCCCTAACGTCTCTGTTGAAATCACCTGCAGACACACACACGCACACAGACATCAACAACTCAAACAACTGTAAGCTTTTCCCCATTTAATTCTGGGTAAGCCTGTTTCCTGAGGCAAAGAATTGGTGAAACGCAGCTTCTACTTTTTTTTCCTTTTTGAAGGCACACTGTACAGAAAAACCCGTATCATTATTAGAATTTGTTGTTATACATTTGAGCAAAAGGAGCTTGCTGCGCTTTGAATGGTGATGCAAAATCCCTGATAGCTAGCAATTAAAAATGTATATCAGACAAGACTTTGATTTGATTTCATCAGTTGGAAAGAAAGTTAGCATCATCTCCCCAAGCACTGGAGGCCTGCTGTGACCACTTGTTAATGCATGGTAGGATTCCTTTCAGATAAGGAAAGTGGAACAGCTAAATAAATATAAAAACTCCATTCCTTAATAATTAAGTGTGAATGTTATGCAGATGAGTGTTGTCGTCGCGAGGCCATGTGAGGTGGATTTAGAACCAACCGCTGTGAAATGGCCTCATACACCACCGTACAGTACAGTACAGTACAGTGGTGTTTTTCAGGAGTGCTGCCAAGTTAGTTGGATAACAATCCGATTCTCTCAGACAGGAGTGATCTGACCCATGGACTTTTTGGATAGATATACTCACATGAGACTGCCGTAGCCAGCAGCAATCCACAGGCACCCCAGCAACAGGAACGGGCAGGTTAAAAAAAGAAACACAAAAAAACGCATGTTAAATTCACATAGCACAGAAGAAATGGCATCAAGAGTCCAAGACCTTGAAGATCTTTGCAGATCCTGAGTTGAGCAGATGTAAGACAGAGGATCGTGATAAAATAATAAACCAAAATTGTCAAAACTTCATTGGACTTTACAAAGTTTTGTACTTTATAACAAAATGCCTTAATAAAGATTCACAGCATTTAGACTTTTTCAGAGCAGACATTTTGACCTGGCAGGAATAGCAAAGGTAGAATTAGTAACATTGAGGATGGCTCTGTTCCATTAAGTATCCCAGTGAGGCAGCATGCACAGGACCTCTCCTTAGTGGAGTGCAGCCATCATTCATGCCCTGCTGCTATGTCAAAATGTCTGTTCTGAAAAGGGTCTATTGATAAGTCTATCTTAACACTCCTGACAGATGATTAGGGAAGAACAGTGTTCTTCAAAGAGGAACTAGGCTCATTTTAAATTCATAAATATTATTCCTACAGTTAAAAAATACAAGCAAATGTGAACAACTCACTCCCAAATCCAAAAACTAGAGTGCTAAAACTCAAATTTGTGATGTCAAATATAAAAGTATAAAGTCTGGAGCTGCTCCATAGACACTGCTTTGGAAAAGATGTTAGTTAAAAATGACACTGAAACACTCAGGGGAGTGTACGTTTTCGGTTTCAGATCTGAGAACACTCATTTGGGTATTAAAAAAACAAAAAAACATTGTGGGTCCACAAAACCAGGCACCCTGGTTTGTCTATGGAGCAGCTCCAGACTTAATACTTGATGACATCACAGATTTGAGACTTCCTTCTCTGGTTTCTGGCTGTGAGAGAAATAGAAATTACTTTAAAGAAACAGAAATATACTTATCCACAGATAAGAAGATTGATACCACTTTACTGCTCGGAGCCAGAACCCAATCATAAGCTTAGTTTTATGTAAAGACTGGAACAAAGGGGAAAAAATAGCTCAGCTTGGTCCAAAGGGAAAAACATCTGTCTAACATCAGCATGTAATATTTTGTTTGTTTAATCCTTACAACACCAAAGTGTTGTACAGAGGTATGTGCTGGACTATTTCTCCACCTCTCTCTCTTTATACTCTTCCCCCTAAGTTAAGCTAACTGGTTACTGCCCTCAGCTACATATTTATTGTATAGACAGTGGTATCAATTTTCATATCTATCAGCTAATAAGTTCTGGAAAATATGTGCATTTCCCAAAATGTCAAACAATTTCTTTAAAAAATGGAAACAAAACTCTAAGTTTGTCATCAGGATTATGACTGAATATCAGCCCTTAAGCGTACAGACAGAGGGGTAAAGTGCTGACTGACTGCTTTAAGATTTTGATGTTCCTACACTTTCCCCCTTCTGGATGTGAACGCCCTCAAATTAAAGCTAAAAGTCAGCACTTTACCCTTATAATCATGTTTCCATCATTTCAATCCAACGAGCTGGTGAACAGAGCTGACACCACAGCAACGTATCACTGTCTAAATACTTAAAGGCTGTCTAAATACTTTCTTTTGCCAGTGCGTGTTGCACCCACCCAAACACACATAGGCTTGTCACCACTATGTCACCTTTGTGGGCCTCAGCTCTGTCGCTGTGTGCCAAGGATGTAAACGGTTCCCCTGCACTGCGCCTCATGATCAGACGGCTGCCATGGGGTCACCTTTAATGAGAGCGCGCTTCCATGGGATGGCAGCTAAAATGACGGCCTTTCTACTCCCCACTTGAAAGAGCATGGAAGATGAGACTGCAGTGTTACAACCCTATGCCAGACGGAGCTCAAGCCCTTATAGCCTCTCCAAAGCTCCATGCCATTTATCTCTGTGTCCCACTTCATCTTTCTCTTCTGTTCCCTCTCGCTCTCGGGGTCCTTGCTCCGCCGCTTGTTACTTTCTCTAATATGTCCATCCCTTGCTCTGTTGCTAAGTGTCCGTTCTCCATTCATCTCTCTGTGCTGAATCTTTTCGTGCTCACTCTTTCTGCTCCTCTTTGTTTGTCATTCCAAATGACGAGAGCGAGAAATGTCAAAAGTGTAGCAAAAGCAGTCATTTATGGATGATGGCTTATCTTCTTCCTCCTTTTCACTTTTCACCCTCCTTTCAATCTTGTTCCTATCTTGTCCTTGTAATCTTAGGGATTTTTGTTTTAAAAACAGTAATATCAAGGGCACCTTCTCTTACTATGAGTTGTGTTAGAAACCCCTAATCACACACACATATGGTCTATCATTGTATATTTTCCTCATCTTCCTGTCCGTGTGAGGACATAAACACGGACATACAAAAGCCATCCATGCACATACACACAAATAAACAATCACACACACTCTCACAGGTGCAATAGCTGCCATTCAGGACAGAGACGTTTCTGAGCAGCAATCATAGTGGCAGCCTGCACCTGCTGAGAGTGACAAACTGGGTCAGATAAAGAGAACAAACAAAAACAAAACAAAAAAAAAAAGAATGAGGTGCAACATTAGTTGGAGTCACAGATGGCTCTGCGTCAAACTTGGATGGTTGCGGGGGGGGGGAGTGGAGGAAAAAACAGGAACGGATGTACAGGGAGGATGTGGGAGCGTGTGAGGATGCAGAATGAGAGGGGAGGAAGTAGAGAGTTCGAGAGAAGGAGTGATTGCTGATAAAGACACGTTAACTTCAGCTGAAGAGTACTTGAAGTGTCAGGAGAAGTTTAGTGTTTAGTAGACGGCTCTGTGGGGGGGGAAGTGTGATAATTTGCGACGCACATACACACACGCACTTGGGCTCTCATGCATGCTGGCACAGAAACGTGCACCCAGTGGCTTTGTCTCCACTGAGTCTGTCTCCCTCTGTGTGTGTGGGAGGACTGATGGGAGAATCTCACCTCTTTCTATCAGCTCTCATTACCAGCCAAGCAGACATGAAAGACTGCAGGGCTCGTGATGCTCTGCAAAGATGACAGGAGGTGTGGCGCAGCTCCGCAACACCAAACACCTCTGAGCGCAAGAAGAGAATGAGCACTGAAACAATGGCTCGGCACCTGAGAGTGTGTGTGTGTGTGTGTGTGTGTGTGTGTGTGTGTGTTGGCTCGTGTGTATAACAAGATTTAAGCTTGATAACATCTCCTGCTGTTTGTGTTCCTGTCAGGTGTCAGGAGGGCAACAAACAAAAACCTGTGGAATAGCAACACAGGTGTGTAGAAATACGTAATACACACACAGACATCTTCTCAGGAAAGTTATGTAACTTGTAAAAATGCACTTGGGTGGTTGTGTGTGTGTGTGTGGGGTGTGTGTGTGTGTGTGTGTGTGTGTGTGTGTGTGTGTGTGTGTGTGTGTGTGTGTGCGCGTGTCTCAAAAATCAAGAAAAAAATCTGCTGCGCAAAGCTAATTGTGCCAAAGAAAGTGTATGTTGGTCCAAAGAAAACATCATTAAGCTGAATCATTATCATGCTAATTCTGTATACACAAGCACACACACTCCCCATGTCCTTGTGCTTTTTGAGGGAGAATGAGGGAGGATTTCAACTCCAGTGTGTATGTTAGAGAGAGTATGCAGTAGCATCCCTCAGTGGTGCTTCTGTTATCCCAGTCAAGGTCATACAGCCAGCTGCGAATGACAATCACTAGCCATGAAAGGACTCCTGGGACCAGGCCAGGATGTGTGTGTGTGTGTGTATGTGTGTGTGTCTGTGTGAGAAAAAGTGAGAGAGAAGAGGAGGCACTGATGATGATGGTCTGATTGTGCCCATGAATGTGAGTGCATTATTGCGCGCGAAACCCAGAGTGTACCAAAATGTGTATACAGTTTGTGTGTGTGTGTGTGTGTGTGTGTGTGTGTGTGTGTGTGTGTGTACAAGCATGCTGGGCTTGGACCAGTGCTCTGCCTGAACGTCCTCCCACTCCTGTCTGCTAATAAGAGGGATAAGGCGTGGCGGAGAGGCTCAGTGAAGACACGGAGGGGTAGAACTGACCCGAGTCTTCAGCGCAGGACAATGGGAAAACAATGGTGTTAATTAACAAGCTTTGATTGGTTAGCCAGGCCTCTGCTAATCATTACCCATTAGCTACTGTGTCCTGAGCCAATCACAACAAGCCTGAGAGGGGCAACAATCAAGAGGGAGCCTTGTTGAAAAAGAAAAAAACAGGAACACAGGAGTGTCATTAAGCGGCAAGACCGTGTTAAGAGGGTCAGCAGGGACTGGTGCAGTGGGAAAGAAGCTTCAGTTCAGACAGTCCAGCTTGTTCATGCTTCCTCATGTGTTAGTTTTTTGGCTTTTTTTAAGGCAACAACACACATTCACACAACCATAAAAAGGCCAACTTGAGGGAAATTAAAATATATTTTGAAACTTTTAGCTTGAAAGGCGGCCATTAAAATCCCAGAAGACACCAGATCAAAATAAAACCAAAACAGATATGGCGAAAGAATCCAAATAAAAATAATTATGTTTGAATTAAATGCCTGTGGCGCTGGGGAGAGGCTGTGGTTGTGCTCAGGCAGCAGGATGAGCAATCACTCAGTCTTGCTGAAGCTCACGCAAGGACAGCATCTCTTGGGCAGTTCACACCCGACAAATCTGTTTTTTATTGCCTCTCCTCCTTTTTTTTTTTTCTTTTTCTTTTTTTTTAAAGCTCCTCTCATCAAAATGGATTTCACATCTGCTCAATGTTTCTGGGGGTCCGGGCATGAATTGGAATTTATGTCAAGACAGTTTTAACACACCGCCAGCGAACATCCGCCACAAACGGGCATGATTAACATGCTGAAAGACAGACGGGGAGGAAAAGGCCGGAACTTTCTGGGCTTCCTAAGACAATTAAGAGAATCAATTAGACTAAATGACGAGGCCCGCAGGCTGCCTGATTTCTAATGTCGGAACATCTCACAACACAACTTGCTCACTTCCTGCTTGGAAGCTCAGATCCCTTGTATTGA